CATGATAGTACTCGAGTCGGCACGGTTCTGCCGCCTCGACGTAAACGACGACGTACTGTCACCGAACGGCTTTCATCCGACATATGTTGATGATCGCATGCTGATACTAACCACAAAACCTCGGCCGACCCGCACACACATTGCTCTATGACACTCGTTGTGGATCACCGTCAATGTTTACATTTTTTCGTTTCGTCTCACAGATGCCACAGAACTCTCTGCAGCACATTCATTCATTTTGCCGAAGTCATGTAACCTGTTCGGAGAATAACAAGAATGCGCGTTCTCGGTAACAATAATTTAAAGCTTTAGTTAGTGGTTTATTTTAGACATGGACTAGAAAACGAAGCCTTACCAGCAAATCGAATAATCATCGAATCCCGCATACATGTTTGGAAGTGAAATATTAAAGTAAATTTTATCAGAAACCTCATGGTTAAATGTTCTTTCCCTTTTTCTCTAGCTCTCATATAGTCATTCCTATATTTTTCTTCCAACCTTTTATCAGTTTTCATGTATCTCGCGGAAATTTTGCTCACATTCTTTTCTCAATGAACCCTTCCCAACTTTCTTCTACCGATTCTTTTTATAAAGTTTCGCTGAACGGTTGTTCATGACAACAATACTTTGTCATGCATCAATGCAAGTGACAAATCAGGGAAAGAAAGCGACATACGTTTTGTCGCTGCTGCTTAAAAACAGTAGCTGTCAATTTTATTCAGACAAATTTGGAAAGGAATACGGTCATCAAAGAAACTCTAGCTATTGTATTTGGACTTGGAACCAATAGACTTTATGAAAAATAAAATGCTCACTAGTACCGAGAAAAACGTCTTTGGTCTAAAAGAGCAAATGCTCGTTCCAAAAGCACAAAGTGGTTAATGAATGAGCTTCAGGCAGCATTCTCTGTTTCTTTTTCACGTTATACATTGAACAAAGAATCCAGATAATTGAGATGGAAAAGGCAAATCATCGTTTTTTTGTTCATGCATGTTCTCAGGCTATATACGTTCCCATATATTTATTCTCATTGCTGTCAGTTGTGTGTCATGATCGCTTAGGCTTTAAAGCTTACCGCCCGCCTTGCCATCCGTAGTGCAAATTCTCGCGGATCATCGCCTGTATTCGCTTTGTGATGATGCCGTATGATGGCCGCCATTCCTGTTCTCCTGCTATAATCACCGTTTATCTTCAATGATAGAATTATTGTTTTGACGGATGCTTTTGGAAATGGGATGCAAAAAATGTGAAGAATGCCATATCCAGGTGGCAAAGAATCACCGCTCTCGGGATCAAATGATGGCTTTTTTATCCGGGCAGTTCTATGAGAATAACGTCGGTTATCAAAATTTAACGGCCTTGATCTAACGAGCAGGAAGAAAGCACGAATTTTCTTCAACTCGTCTATAAATAATCACATGGTTAAGGTGTTCTCAACCGTTTTCGCTAAGCTTGAAATAGATAAAAAATAAGCGCGATTGAGAAGTAAAGCAAAAATGACGAGTAACAAGAATGAAGTTATCCTCGACTTTTATTTGCCTTCGTTCTAGAAAAGCTAAATTCGTTTCTATCAGTTCAACAAACAGGATCCTACCGAACTGACCTTACTGAATTACTGCACTCCCTTCAATCCCACGAATTGTTGTCCATTACTCATTCTTTCATCTCTCTTTTGAAGAAAAAAGCCTACCAACACATAAGGAGGCATCAGGACAACATTTCAAGAACCTTATACGTCTCCAATACTACCTCAGCCGATGTGCAAAGTGTGTCACCTTAAAGGATGAGCCAGGCTTAATTTGATAGGGCCGTATTTAGACAGAGCGTTAGCGAACAACCGGTTTAACACATCGCCTTCAGAGTACGGTAGATTGTGTAGGAAACCGGGGACTATCGGCAATTCAGAAGTGTTTTTCTTTTCTCTTATTCGTTAAATATTATTAAAATATATAAAGACGGAACCTTCACACAAGTGTTTTCCTTCTATTATAGGAGCTCATGGTTTATAAAAAATCGTTCAACCTTTCATTTACCACATAGTACAGTTAGCAATTTTAGTTTGTACTTAGGTTTTACATTGCTCTGCATGAGAAATACTTCATTGTCTACACAAAGCTCTTCCTTTTATGTTTTTTAAAATAATATTTAGTTTAACTTTTGATCCCGAAAAAGGTCAGAGCTAAAAAAAACGTCTACAATAAGTTTTCCTCTAAAGAACTGCTGTACTACTTAAGGTAAATGTAGAGAAAGGAATGTTCAGTATTTTTCGTAGCAATGTTGCAACAATCTCCTTTCTCTCACTACTCGCCGCCTACCATTGTTTTGTAGATTGCTTGTCATTCGATCCACTCTTCATCTTAGTTTATAACAGCCTTCACTTTTACAACTCTATCCATCCAAATGTTATCGAATGCTTTCTTAAGACGGATTAACAATTTATTTTCCTATATTGTAGGAGATATTAGCAATTCAACGAACAAGTAATATTTCATCGTTTTTCTTTAATTTAATCATACATTTATTCAATCCAGATGGCCAATTATAAAGTAAATCTCGGTTCAAAACAGTCTAAATTTGGCGCTAAAACTGTGGAATTCTCGCATTCTCGGGAATATTGTCTAACTTTTTTGTTACATTGTAGTTATTTTTACTAGTACAGGCTTCAGTGAGTACAACTAGCATTTTGAGTGTTCTATTTTTATGCTAGCGTGTTTTTATACTGGTGCATTGTGTCAGCAATGGAACGTATGGTGTTGGCCTGAGAGTGTCGACTAGACGCCCTTCATTTAATCCGGTAATCAACGGCTTGGTTCTCTTCCTAAGCGCTGCCTAGCTTCTTATCACTTTAATACATAACGTCTCCACACCAATTATTGCTACTGCACTACGAAACAAGCGTTAGTTTATAGCTATGGTCATAAATGAAGCGAATGATATTGTCGTATGATATGATTAATTATCCATTGCTGTCCTATTATAGATTACTCTTCTTTACGAAAATGCTTAATGGTTCAACCATTTTTAACTCTACACCTCTTGCTAAAGAAACCTAAATAGTTCTTGCTCCAGTAGTTTGTCGGTAGTTATTTTATTGAATTTAGAGCTTTGCTTCAGTAATTCTTAGTGACGGCAAAATTCTTCGCTAGTCTATTTCATTCTCAATGGAGTATTCAGGAAATCGGTGTCACGTCGGCTTTATAGCTTGTCATAACCGAGAACAAACCATCTCAGTTGCAACTTGGACTTGATCATGGATATTTCTCCGTGAAAAAAGCACTTTTCCTCCTTTATGGAAGCCTTGACACAGTTCATCTTTATTTCTTTGCTTTCTCTTTATAATATAATGTCAAATTCTGTTCAAAGAAAAGTTGATGGTGTTTTCTGTGAAGTTTTGACTACATTGCCAGTAGTGTCCTAGAGGCTACAGTACCCCAATAAATGGGCGGGACCAAGCCACTGCAGCGGCACACCACAGAACTCACCAACCACTAAACGCCCCAACACGTGCAGATAAATTCCCTTAGCGTCTCATATCCATATACTTAACGAACGTATTGCATTGCTTGTTTGGCTTTCACCTTGCCGCTGGTCGGTCACTTCTCAGACGCAGCATGATTTCTCGTAACCAGTATGCTCCCAATTACCTAAGTTCTTTTGAAGGAAAACGAAAACACTTCTAAGCTCTTAAATTTTCCCCAAAAGCTTTCCGTTCTTTGTCTGAAAAAAACTGCTTGTTTCAAATTACCCGTCTTTCGTCTTCTCAACACTTCACTGTTCACACTTCATCCTATCGCTTTCGGCCGAACACTGACGCATCACTGACAGCGGTACGTTTTCATCATAACAGAAGCCCGCAAAAATTTTTTAACGATCGCATACTGTTTATAAGGGGTTCTTATCAAAAGCTTTTATCAAAGCGTGCCGCTCCGTAATAAAAACGAACTCAGCTTTTATGGGCTATACACTACGTGCCTGATTTGGCCAGAAAACCCTTCACTGCACGATTTTCTGCACCCTTTTTTTGCTGTACTCCTTGTTGATATTCTTCTCTTGCACAGCTTTGCTCGGCTGAGAATCCGTTTATGTATCTTCACATGTGACTCCTCACACCATTTCGTTACGTATAAATGCAAACACACGCATTCGTGTCGATTACTGTAGAGAAGTGATCGGAGTAGCTATCCCACAGCAGATGACTCAGTAGCCCTCATTACGGTCATGACATCCGATTCGGCACAATTCGCGAACTCTCCATGAACTCCATCGTTTTATGCTCTACTTTAATTTCTAGTATAACAAATGTTTGTGATCAATGACTTCGTTGAAGTATGCCTACTTACCGGAAATAACGAGTATTTATAACAGTGCTTAGTTGTATACCCCAACAACTGAAGCGAGTTTGAATGAATTCGTAGTTTTCTTTCCTGTGATCGATAATGTGTCGCTCGCATTGTATTCCGTAATTCTCTACTGCTATCTGTTCACAAACATACTAAATTAACTGCTGGTACCTTTTGCATTTCAGATCCCTGAATACGGCATTGTACTCTACCATCAATTTTGTTCAATTTTTGCTAACAACGATGACGTAATCCGTTGTTGTCGTCACTATACTGAGCAAAGGCGTTATCGTTGTCTACTTTAGATGTTGCCCACGTTTGTTGCACCACTACGAGAGCAGTCTATCTTTCCACGAACGCCGAACGATGAATTCTTTCGCTACTGGCAAATCTACCAACAACATCTCTATCAGATGCTTTGCAGTATTAACATGCAGGTTAAAGATCTTCGATACGCATCCATGTTACCGTCTAATAATCTATGTAATGTTGATTTTAATTAATTATTTCTGGAAACGACATAACTATGATTGATAATTGAGTCGATTGATCGATTGGTAATTGATACTACTGCAACATTTGCTTTTCGAATTCTCCACTTCGCCATTAACTCTGAACTCTTTCGTTATTACTTTTTAGCCCTTATAACTTAGTCTACGACGAAAACAAAAAGAGTGTAAACTAAGGGCAAAAATTTGCTATTTTCAGAACGCCAACGCCAGGATAAAGGCTTTCTATTCACCAGAATCGCCCGAAGGCACGTCGAATGACTCATCGACAGAGAAGAAAAAGTTCGACTTCACACATCTAGCTGAATCAATTGAGATCGAAGAACGTGAAAAAGCCAAAGTACATTTGGTTATTCGGTTACATCAGTTATGACCTGTAACCACAGAGTTTCGTTTTTTGAGTCTCACGGTCAACAGGTCTTTCAGATTGAGACCACAACGCCCTCTCGTCAGTTTGCCCCAGTTACCACTTCACCATACGGTCGGCCACCGTGGTGAGAATTTGCCTACTGAGTCATTGCGTAATGTAAACTTGGTTTGGCAAAGCTTTCAGAGCGCTGAGTAGGGAAAATACGTTTGTTCAGGTTTCTTCTACCAGGAAGAGGTCGCGGTAGCGGTAAGTCAAATCGTCCAAAGAAGGAATTCATCTGCAAATACTGTAACCGACACTTCACCAAATCCTACAATCTTCTCATCCATGAACGGTAAGTAGCGTGTTTTTTTTGGATAGGAGAACCAAAACATTTACATTATAGGAAGAGGTCATCTTTGAAGAAGGATTAGAATGTAGTTCGCAATTTGTAAGGCTTAAAACCAATCGTTTACTTGTGCAGTTGTTTATGCTCTCTCATTTGAGTGAAGTAAAAAAAGGGTAGACGATAGAACGTTAGTACTTAGACAGGGACACAGTTTGCAACAGTTTAATTAGATCACTTCAATGAGAACAAAATTAACTGTATAAGATTCACCAGCTGTATCATCTTATCACTGTATTCATCATCTGAGTGGTGTTTAAATATAGAAATGGTATACTCATTGGCTTGTGGTGGCCTACAAACCTACAAGGTCTGTATTTTTACCATCTTGGACAAGTCTGAAACTAGCTATATCAGATGTAGGGTTTCCATCGCCCTCCCCACGGGATCAAACGAACGCTATCAAGTGTGAATTGCATGGCGCCTCTAACCATTACGTTACAAGTATCACCAATTGATGGATATATACGTATATATATATATATATATATATATATATATATATACGCGTAACCATTATACGGTTCGTTTTTATCTTTAAACAAACATACGCCAGCTCGTAAAAAAGTTTTTTAATTGGGATTAAAGCCACCAATACACAGAACAATCTGAAATAACTGCAATTTTCCTCCGTCACAACGAAATTCTAAAATTTTGAAAACTACGAATCGTCTCGATTCTGAGTTTCTTGGTAGGGAGACTTGTATCTTGAGTAGAGAGCCTACTGTACAGCTGGGTGTTACCCAGCGGAAAAGCGATAGTGTCCCTTGAATGCGTCGTTTATGGCGGCGACTACTGTAACCGCATCCAAAGCTTCAAAAAACCCCTTCAGCCATTTTTTTGTAAAAATAGGCAATACTGTTGTTTATGCCTTTTTACCTTAATAATAATAAAACAAAGGTTTTCTGTATATCCTATTGCTTCCAATATTCTGAAATATTCAGCTCCAGTATTTCTCAGCAGCTAACGTTTTTGAAAAAAGCCGCAAAGATGTCAGTGAGCAAAAAAGGAACATAAAAACTACATAGTCATAGTGACCACTAAAATTTTTTTAAGCTAGAAAAAGGCTAGCAATCGTCTGGGGACTGTACAAAAGCGTCCTTTAAGCAACAAATTTGACCTTTGAATTCTACTAGGTCGCTGCGAATATCATGGGCCCATTTTGTGCTTTCTTTCTACGTAAAATGTCTCTGTTGACATTAGGAGGTCTCAATAGAAGAGCTTGATAGGTCTTACTTAGTTTTTAAATACTTTGTTCTAGTACTCATACGGATGAACGCCCTTATTCCTGTGACACTTGCGGCAAGGCGTTTCGGCGTCAGGATCATCTTAGAGACCACAAGTGAGTCGTTGAGAAGACGAGTTATCCATCCATGTTTTTATTCAGTGACATTCCTCACCGTTTAAGATTCATTCACTCGAAGGAGAAGCCGTTTAAGTGTGACGTTTGCGGGAAGGGGTTCTGTCAGTCCCGAACGCTTCAAGTTCATCGTACGTCTCATGCAGAATGTACAAGTGGTCAGAGTGGTCACGACATCGTCAATCAGGTGTGTACCTTATACTTTGTGCTTCAGCTAAGCGAGGTTGTTTATATTAACGGTGGCTAAGGTTTACCAGTTTATATTTCACATATTAGTTAAGTATAATCTTGAGAAAAATTCACAATAAACCCACTAATTGGTCTACAGCTCTTGTTCAAAGCGATTTTCTGATTTCGGTATCAATCGGACCTCGTAAATTTGGTGTCACTTCTACCACTTGTGACTCAATTGAAAATTAAATTGCTCAAGTAAAACTATTAAAGCCTCCTTTTGCTTTCGCCATGCTAAAAATGAAGCTCATTTCATTAAAAAGTACTTCGTCCTTAGCTTTTTTAGTGAGAAGGTGACAATGGGTGACTCATCGGGCCCTACTATGGTACTGGTTTGCTCTTAGGTGAACATCTGATTGTCGAACTTAGGAATGTCGAACTCCTCAACATTGGTGACCATGTTAAGGGTTGAAACCAAGTTATATATTGGAGTTTGACACAGAAACACACATCGTAAAGGCCAAAATATGTTGAATTCGAAATACGATATAAAATCGTTTTATATGGTAATTTATGTTCAGTTTCTTTACTTCTTGCATTTTTAAGGTACCCCTCGCGGTGACAAAACCTCTTTTAGGGCATGACGGTGTTACCACCTGGCGATGTGGAACCATTGTTAACACCGGGTTCCACGCCCGAATACAATTCCCTTAGTCCGGTCTCGCGATTTTCCTGACTTTATTTCCTTTATTAAAAGTTGTACTTTCATTAACTATATCCGTACCTTTTTCTGCTTTTCATTCATTTAAACTACTTCTACTCAACATTTTTGTGAAGTTGCAAGTTAGTTGATGGTCTTATGTGCGCCCGGGCTATCATACCCCTTCCTGATTTCATAATGGACTGATAACTGAGAGGTGGTGAGTTGAGTGTCAATACCTACGATACAACTCGACCCCCATGATTGTTTGACCATAGATAGAGGTGTGATAGCAGTAGTTAAAGATGGCAATATCTCGATCAGTATGCTGGATTTAGACTAAGCAGGGTAGAGCAGCTGCGGACAGAGCATAATATGATCTCGACCCCTGTACTAGGTAAAATGCAATCTAAGGCGTTTCACTTTTCAGTACCAATATTCATTTAATTTCTATGTTGGTATATGCTCATAATTAACGACACTGTTTATGTGCTTTCCTGTAGCACTGGCAGTGAGCCTAACTCTCACGAGTTACCTTGCCAGTATCAAGTAAATTCGCCACACAGCTGCATTCTACAGATGCATCCAACAACCATCTTGACGTACGTCTCAGTTGTGATAGAGCACCACTAGTGCCTTTCAGTTTCTATCTGTTAGCGTGTGTGTACGCATGTGTACACATGTGTAGGTATATCTCTCTGATCGCATATGTGTGTCTATTTGTGTTTATTCGTATGTCCATGATGCTAGTTTGAAATTCGGGTTGCTAGATGAGACAACCATACTAAATTGATAACGAGCAATGGACAACTTTATGTTCACAGACGCTTCCCAAACAAGGTTTCAGTCTCTCAAGCAGCGTGTCAAATAGTGTCATGTGATTCGACGACGGTTGTATAAAATAAACATGTCTTTTTGCTCTGATTCTGTTTGAGTAAACACTAAGCCATCGATGTTTTCCAAGTCGATATTTAAAAAAATCATTCCACTACTCATAGACAACTATTTCCTAGAGCTTTTTAGAGAACAACATGAATAAGTTTAGAAGAATTTTCGGAGACCTTAAGTACCTTTAAGCCTGAATAAAATTTGCGAACAGTGCCTGTATCATTTTTAACCATGCTGATCACTTAATAACTCAAGCGAAGAACACTAAGGTCTCGTCTCATCCTTGTTACCTTCCAGTTGTCGCTTGGTTCCACTCGCTTGACGGATATGAAAACCGTCGCTTTTTTGTGCAATGTTCTTTAATTAAATAACATGGAGGCTAAATGAGCTTCACCATGAGGGTTAAATACACTCACAGTTGTCGGGAATTTGGGGAACAGGCATTGGGCTTATTCTTTAGAGGCAATCCCGAACCGTCTCTTACGTACTTCTAGTCATTTGGGTGCAGCTGTTTGGCTGGATCAAAGTGTAAGCACAATTAGCAATAATGGGAAGGTTGTGCATGCGGGTATACGGAAGGTATAAGTCAATCTGATGGTGTAGACGCTGGGAACCAATACCCTGAGAGCAACTGCATGTCAGGAGCACAGCGTTTAATCCGGTCCTTCCCATTTACAAGCATTCCGTACTCCTACGGCTGTTCCTGAATAGTCCGTACATGACTGGTATCTGTTCGGTCTACTAGTACAGAGAAAAAGTGGAGTGGTGAAAGTGTCTGATCATTCTGGTTAGCATGTTTTCTAACACCAGACATCGAAATTCCGTATGACCGTTCAAATTCCATTTCAACAAGGTCTAATTGGGAAAGATATCTCTGGAGAAAACCATATCTTACCGTATCAGAATATTATAGCCTACAAAACCTGGAAATCTTACCACCGTATTTCTGAAGTTTCTCGTAAACACTGCAAAACGTTGTGTTAAATTACTTTTAATACTTTGTCGAAGGTAACTAAATAACTAATGCTCAAGAGGTAACGTCACAGATGGTAAGTCCGATGGCTTTGTATCGGATCCATTTTCCAATTTCTTTGTCGTGTCGTGCTGTTCTATGAATACAACATTACTCAGGACGACACTGGAGGCACTCTGCATAAATGTAATTTCCGTTCTACCGTAGTTGTAATTGGGCGGCGTCCTTTAATCTTTCTGTGATAAACCGATCAAAGTGTAAAATGTAAAATGTGCTTGCTGAAAACCATTAGTGTTATAAATACCTTTAGTCCCATTCATGGAATAACCTTTTTCTTGAACTCGAATTCAATTAGAATACTGCAAGTCTAGCTTCGACTAACCAAATATCATTCAATTTTTGTTACGTTTCAAAGGCATACTCTGGGAATTACGAACGTAAGCAATTTAGTTCATCTTGCTTGTCAGTTGAAATCTTTAGCTTCGATATATGGACTAAAATTTTTCTTGAACTGTTTATATTAAAAATGTCGAATTTAAAAAGCTAACGCATCGATGGAAATCCTCGTTATCCTAAATGAACAGAGTGCTGGTTGAGTAACCAAGTAAATAGATAAAAGTTTTAAAAAAGCCAGAAAACTTCAAGTGCTCTTCAATGACATGGATAGTGCTCACATCAAAAGTTGCCGCAATTGTCTTTCCGTTATCTGGTTAATGTCACAGCCTTCATAAACTTCGTAACGTCACCTCTCTACGGGAACATTTGAACGTTCTCATCCTGGCAGCTGACCTAAAAACCGTCCCTATTCTGCTGCTAGTTGCCAGTTATAACCATTGCCATTTCATTTACCAAATAATTGACCCCTACATAGACTAAAGTGAGCTGTCGTCATAAACATAGATTTGTAATCTTCTCGAAATCCTTAAATAGTCGACACATCTATCGTTGATCAGAAATTCCACATTCGGTTTGCGCATAGAAATGCCGAAACTCTAGAACTGGTCTTTACGTTGGTACCGTGATAATGTTGGAGACCGGGCAATCCCATTGAAGCTCAGTAAAAGTAGTTTAGTTCCAAACAGTAAAACGTAAAAGGAATATTTCCAAGACCGACTTTCTGTTAACCTCGGCAATGATTGATAATTCGATATTTTTCTTCAATAAGCAGACACGAAGTTGTTATTACAGAATTTATTAGGATACAATAGCTGACGTTTAATTTTTATCTGCTAGAGTTATGAAGGTGTTTGGCTGAGTAGATCGCATCTCAATTTGACCTTTCCAGACTCTGAAGAAGGCGAAACGGCCGAAACGTCAGCAATTGTATTCTAATAAATTCTATAATAACAACCTCGTGTCTGCATATTGAAGAAAAACACCGTAAAAAAGGATAATTTAATATAAAAAAATGTAGATTGATTCTGATTTTTTTTGCGTATTAAAACCTACTCGAAGCAAGGACTTTTAAATATCCCCAAAACGCTGTCAACCTAAGTTAAACAAAAACAGATTACGATTTTAAGGTTTTGGAACGCCTGTAGATCGCATTATTTATGCTGTAGATCAAAGAGGTCAGTTCCTGAGACATCTGACAGCGTCGCTCTATATAAAGCTGAAGATGTAGGCCAGTTCATAGCTTTAAGATCATCGTTTTAATGCGCTTTCACCTTAATCAATGTGCTTCAGAAGATGCCGCTTTTTGTTTCCTGTGCTAACGCATGTGCTGTTTTTCTACTCAAGGGCTTATAAGAAATCGTATGTGGGAACGAATCTTAGTCGATGTTGTTTGGCTGAATGAAAGCCGCTCGAAAACAGTTATGAGAAGAAATGATTCAATGGGAGACGGATTATTCAGGCACCTATGTTTGCTCATTCGTCACACATATTCTCAAATTACTTTGATACCGGATTATGGTGAAAGGCATTACAATTAAAAGAAAGAAAACATCTTCTTTTCATGTTGTCCGAAACGTATCGGTCATCTTGCGAGATTAACATCCAAGTGGTAAGTGAATAGCTCGGGAGTTGTACAGCTACTAAAACTTTTGGTGAACAAAGGGTCCAACTTGAATTGTCCGATCGATACCTATAAACGACAATTAGATGGCTTGCGAACTAATCAAATTAGAAGCTTTTTGACATTACTATGATCTCATGATATTGATTACACACAGTTATTTTCCTCGATTTACTCGGTTAGCTTTAATGAGAATCTGATAACAGTTAACACTAACCTCAATTGACAACGTCGCGAAGCGTTTTCTACAAGCTTCCACACTTTTTTGTCGGAAATATCTAGTTAGATATATCTGCTTATTTGTTCTCTGACCACTAATTTATACGGAACCAAGAAGGAACGGTTCTGAAATTTAGATCTTCGGGATATTGTGCAAAGCTTTTTAAACGATGATTCGAATTGCGTCAAATTGTCATTCTTTCGCTTTTAAGACGATTAGTGAGCCTTAGTTGATTTCTGCCATCTCCGCTTACGTTAGTTATCGAATGACTTGATCGG